ATTGGAATTGAGCTGTGTTGTTTACCATACTGTTCATTTCATAAGTATAGTTTATATTTTGTTTTTTGTTTTTCATTTCGTTTTTTAACTGTTTTTCTTATATTTCAGTGATGGGAACTTCAGAACATTTGATGTTCCTAATTTTCTGATGGGAACATCATATCACTTGGGAATACATCGAATGTGTGGGGAATGGTGGGGAGGACGACGGAACGGGAGTAAGGGACGTTGGGGAGAACGAGGAGACATGGGAGGGGGGAAATGTTGGGGAGAGCGAGGGAACGGTGTAGTTGGGGATGGTGGAGCCGAAGGGATAGGGGAATGGAGAACAAGGGGACAGGGGAGTGGGGGATAGTGGAGAGATTGAGAGGACGGGTGAGTGGGGAATGGTGGGGAGGACAAACGGATGGGGGAAGGGGGGAATGGTGGGGAGGACGAGGGGACAGGGGAAGGTTGCTGTGCCTCATCAACGCACATGCGTTGCTAAGCCACAGCAACGCGTGGCCGGGTACAGCTAGTTTCTTTATAAATATTGAATTCCATGGGTCAGGACCATGTTCAGTGAGCTTTCTTAAAAAAAAAATGTTTTCTTTCAAACTTTGACCAATATTTTTGTCCGTTTAGACTAACGCCCCGACCCTATATCGTCCCGAGATAACGCCCCGATCCTATATCACCCCAGGGATAACGCCCCAATTTTAAATAGAAGAAAATACTTTTTGCATTAATAAATGATTTTCTATCTGTTAAATACACATTTTGATGCAGTTGAAGCAATTGATTATATTTGATCAAAATATGGGTTCGAGGCATTTATAGGTCAAGCGCATGAGCAGTTGTGTCCATGTAGGTTTAAATGATCCCGTTGATTGGGTATAACGTTAGTAGGATATGCTTAGATTTGTGTAAAGATCTGGTGAATGGAAAGACATCGTTGCTGGGATTTTAAATTAATAAATGTTCTGATTATATCAGTGGTGGTTTACTAAAATAAAATTAAGTTAAAAATAGTCTTACAAAATAATATAAAGTCTAATAGTTACACTTCGGACGTATGTTATGATTTATGAAGCTCGTATGTGTCTACTTACGAGATGTGCGCCTCGTAAGGTCGATCATAGTGGTTTCCAAGTTCGCTATTAAACACTTGAAGAGCTCACAGGCGCTGCAAGGGTGACCATAAGAATGATATTCTTGGACGATCTCGCAGCGCTTCGTCGTCCCTAAACTATTTAGTGAATGCAGACTCTGTAGCCAGTGGTCAAGGAAATGGGAACACATCTCGTAACTGAATTAGTCTTTGATCTTTGTGTCCTGGACTCTGTTGAAATGGTCCAAGACGTTTGTAAGTTTTGTTCTTTATATAAATGCGTTTAGGGCCATGCGCGTTATTTTGTTTAGAAAATGTACGCTGAGGAGCTACAGGTCCTCCCCAGTATAGGTTTACCCCTGTGTATGTACTAATGGCTTTGTAAATATTGTAACAAAACAATGTAATTAGGTTAAATTCATTTGACTTGAATTAAATTCTAGTTTCCACTTGCTGGACCATTCTTTCTGTTTGTCCAATCCATCTTGCTACTGCTTCTTAAAATCCTCCTCATAATTTTTGCATCATCAGCATCGTTGAGAGGTATAAGTCTATTCCATTTGGAAGATCTTTTTCATGTATGAAATGATACAGGATAGTTCAGGAAACTCAAACTTGTGGGACTCTGCTAGTGACATCGCACCACTCTGAGATCTCACCCCTCACGGTAACTCATCGTCTTTTGTTGCATAAGTACTCCTTTATCGAGTGGCTTACCTTCCCCGTCACTCTTGCCTGCTTCTCCAACTTGTGCACTAATCTCTCATCGGGGAACTGTCTCTAAGATTTTCTGACAATCCAAAAATTTGCAGTCTGCCCACCATTCTCTTTGTCTAATTTATGTCGACTGGTCTTAGAATTCCAATTAATCTGTGAGGCCTGATTTACTGCCCCCTGATCCCGTACTGGTGGTGCTACAATGTTCCTTCACTCCAGATGTTCTACTGATATTTATGTTAAAAATTTTCTATATCACACTCACACAGGCACACTGTGTGTACCCACCAAGTTGTGCTTGCGGGGTTGAGCTCTGGCTCTTTGGCCCCACCTTTCAACTGTCAATCAATTGGTGTACAGATTCTTGAGCCTACTTGGCTCTATCAAATCTACATTTGAGACTGTGTATGGTGTCTGCCTCCACCCAATCACTGCTTAATGCATTCTATTTATTAACTACTCTGACACGGAAAAATTCTTTCTATTGTCTCTGTGGCTCATTTGGGTATTAATTTTCCACCTGTGTTCGTGCTCCACGCGTTCTAAAGAGTTTGAATTTGTCCGCCCTGTTAATTCCCCTGAGAATTTTGTAGGAGTTATCATGTATCCCCTTACTCTTCTGTTTTACAGTGACGTGAGGTGTGTGTATTCACCTTGTTGTATTCACCTAGTTGTGCTTGTGGGGGATGAGCTATGCTCTTTCGGCCCGCCTCTCAACTGTCAATCAATCAACTGTTACTAACTACTACTATTTTTCACACATATACATCCCCCCGGAACCAGCCCGTAGCAACTGTCTAACTCCCAGGTACCTATTTACTGCTAGGTAACACTGGCATCACTGTAGAAAACTCCGCCCATTTGTTTTTCCGGTGGTACCGGGAGATCAAACCCCGGTCTCTGAGTCCACAAGTCTAGAGCGCTGTCCACTCAGCCACACACACCCTGTGTGTGTGTGTATGTGTGTGTGTGTGTGTGCTCACTTAGTTGTGCTTTCGGGGGTTGAGCTCTGGCTCTTTGGTCCCGCCTCCCAACTGGTGTTTAGATTCCTGAGCCTACTGGGCTGTTAGGGCCACAATGGGTCGCAATCCAGTTCTTGATCGATGACCCAAAGTACTAGTATCCGACCCCAGGTCGGTAGTGGCTTTCAAGGAGTAGGATAGGTAATGCAAGCAATAAAATGGGGGGAGCTGAAATGAACACAACACTTCATCCTCTATCAATATATTCACTTAACTTATTACCTCTTTCCCATCACCGTAAATATAAAATATAAAATTAAATAATATTACTACACGTGGATATTTACATGTGTCGCTCTCAAATAGGACACTAAGCACTCCTCGATGCTAACGCGATGCACCCTTTGTCAACTTCCGTGTTTCCTCAACATACAGTACCGTCCTCAACCAGTACTGGGAAACACCAACGAGTCTACCCTGGCCATGCGCCAGTCTACCGATGGTATCACTAGGTGCCTCTTGTGACTGCCCACAATCCTCTCCAGCCAAGTGCTGGCAGAGAACTTCTGCCACCCGCTGATGGGGACACTACACGGACAAATACAGGGGTAGCTAACCCCTGGCAAGAGCCTCTAGCGGTGGGCTAGTAACTCTCCTCAAAAGTACCTCTCTGTCGGTCGTCTCTCCCTTCGGCAGTCCTTGGGTTACGCCGACTCCATATACTGCCACTCCACTGGCAGAAAGCAGATACCACACAGTTCCTCTTCGGCGGCAGCTCACTTAGTCGTCAAGCAAAATTAAGTAGAGAGAGAGATTAGGCTGCCCAGGGTAGACTGCTTTTCTCCTTACCACTGCAGCCCTACGTCGCCTCTGTGGATACAGACACGTCATCAGTAAACTAGCCGGTACTGGTGGAACTAGGAAATACCACTTACTGTCTCTAGCATTGACATTCAGTTCATATCACAACAGATGGATTTCACCAGAGGTTATCACAGCGCCTCCTCTGGCTGACCAAGGCAGGAATCTTGAGCCTTTTGCAGGTATTAGACAGCCGCCACCAGATGGCACTGTTCACATTACATCCGATACCGTGGGGGTGAGGGAGCAGACTCACAGATGGCGCTGACGTCGCTTCTCCATACTCCGACGATGTAGTCGGGTTCTTGACATGGGTTCTATCATATCTACATTTAAAACTGTGTATGGAGTCAGCTTCCACCACATCACTGCCTAATGCGTTCCATCTGTTAACTACTTTGACTCTGAAAAAGTTCTTTCTAACGTCCCAGTGGCTCATTTGGGTACTCAGTTTCCACCTGTTTCCCCTTATTCGCGTACCACTCGTGTTAAACAGTTTATCTTTATCAACCCTGTCAATTCCTCTGAGAATTTTGTAGGTAGTGATCATGTCTCTCGTTACTCTTCTGTCTTCCAGTGTCGTGAGGTGTATTTTCCGCAGCCTTTCCTCGTAACTCATGCCTCTTAGTTCTGTGTGTGTGTGTGTGTATGAGTATGCTTAGATCACAAAAAACCTTGATGAATTATGAGAAAATGTATAACCAAAAAGGAAAACGAAACATGAAATATCTGAACGCTTTGGTGTATTTCAACACATACACCATTACTGCTACATCCAATAATCTGAACCAAATATGTACATGAAGAATTTTTTTTAAGTTTCAACACCTTATAAGACTGATATCTCCCACCTTCTGGCAAGTGAGTGTGTACAAATAGGCGCAATTCAACAGTGGATATAATAGACTGGTATAAGAAGTGACCATTAGTGCCTATGCTGTGGTTAGGGTGGCAGGTCAGGCGGTCATGTATAATATTCATGGGGCTGTCACCTAGTCCAAGCTACGTTACTGGGGGTAAAAGAAATGTAGATACAGTTAAGTATACAGAGAGAAATAAACATATTCTAGGGTTATTTCATAAGGTGGTTATTTTACACCTAGTTCTGAATGACAGTTATTAGTTATGATCTTAATGTGAAACATCAACGGGAAGTCTTACGCTAACCAAAGCTCCTGTTAATTGTTTCAGTGACATATATCACGACAGGTGTGATTTCTGTGTGTATATGATCTTTCTGTTCTCAGCTTTGCAATATTTGTGTTGCAACAGTGATATATATGAGACCCATAATGTTGCCACACACGTAAATGTTTTGTCCTCTTGTCCTCGTGTCTTTGTCGTCACAACTTATTCAGCACTTGTTCTTGTTATTGTTCACAACGTGTGTCGTACTTGACGTTGTCTTTGAAACTAGTTCTGTACTCTTTCTTTTCCACCTTTTTTTTGTACTTGTCGTCGTCTTCACAAAGTGTTATGTACTTGTCGTTGTCTTCACACAGTGTTATGTACTTGTCGTCGTCTTCACACAGTGTTATGTACTTGTCGTTGTCTTCACAAAGTGTTATGTACTTGTCGTTATCTTCACAAAGTGTTATGTACTTGTCGTCGTCTTCACAAAGTGTTATGTACTTGTCGTTATCTTCACAAAGTGTTATGTACTTGTCGTCGTCTTCACAAAGTGTTATGTACTTGTCGTTATCTTCACAAAGTGTTATGTACTTGTCGTTGTCTTCACACAGTGTTATGTACTTGTCGTTGTCTTCACACAGTGTTATGTACTTGTCGTTATCTTCACACAGTGTTATGTACTTGTCGTTGTCTTCACACAGTGTTATGTACTTGTCGTCGTCTTCACACAGTGTTATGTACTTGTCGTTGTCTTCACACAGTGTTATGTACTTGTCGTTATCTTCACAAAGTGTTATGTACTTGTCGTTGTCTTCACACAGTGTTATGTACTTGTCGTTGTCTTCACAAAGTGTTATGTACTTGTCGTTGTCTTCACAAAGTGTTATGTACTTGTCGTTGTCTTCACACAGTGTTATGTACTTGTCGTTGTCTTCACACAGTGTTATGTACTTGTCGTTGTCTTCACAAAGTATTATGTACTTGTCGTCGTCTTCACACAGTGTTATGTACTTGTCGTTGTCTTCACAAAGTGTTATGTACTTGTCGTTGTCTTCACAAAGTGTTATGTACTTGTCGTTGTCTTCACACAGTGTTATGTACTTGTCGTCGTCTTCACACAGTGTTATGTACTTGTCGTTGTCTTCACACAGTGTTATGTACTTGTCGTCGTCTTCACACAGTGTTATGTACTTGTCGTTGTCTTCACACAGTGTTATGTACTTGTCGTTGTCTTCACACAGTGTTATGTACTTGTCGTTGTCTTCACACAGTGTTATGTACTTGTCGTTGTCTTCACAAAGTGTTATGTACTTGTCGTTGTCTTCACACAGTGTTATGTACTTGTCGTTGTCTTCACAAAGTGTTATGTACTTGTCGTTGTCTTCACAATTTGTTCACAACCCGTTGTGTGTCTTGGCGAAAGATGCACGTAATTTTATTGGTGTAAATAACATAGATTTAATGAATAGTTTTTGTTTAATATGAAAAAAATACATTTATTAATATAGAGTACACTCTACCTTCATCAACACCAAGACACAGCGCCCACAGCCCCACCCAACTTGACTACATAAGTATTAATGAATTACAGAACTCCTATGCATCGTCAGTTGTATCCTCTGATTTTTGTCTGTAGGGATAACGTTTCTATTAACAATATCTTTCAGGACCCTGAAAATCAGAGGATACAACTGACGATTTACTATAAAACCAGAAAAACGGCCAGCCTACTCCTGAGAAACTCTCCAGACACAAAACAGAACGCTTTAAAAGACACTAACGTCGTCTATGCCTTCAAATGCCCTCTTGGGGACTGTAAGCTCCAAAAAAAACCAGTATACTGGCAAGACAACAACATCTCTTTCTAGGCGTTTAACGATGCATAAGCAACAGGGCTCCATAAGGAACATACAATCTCTTTCCACAACCAAACCATCGCCAGAGAAATCCTAGTAAACAACACAGAAATCATCGATAGATACAGCGATAGCAGGCGGCTTGACGTTTGCGAGGCATTACACATCAAGAAGTCAACACCAGCAATCAACAGCCAATTAATGCACAACTATATTCTACCCACCTCACGACTCCGCTCCAATATAGAAGCATCAAGAAATATGGACCAATAGGCTTTCTACAATCACTTCTATTCAATACCCATTGTTTCATGTTCTGGCTTGTGTTGATGAAATTAATACCTTATTAAATACCATCTCACCCCATCCACCACACTCAAATGTAGATATAAACAAAATCGGAGATGTGTAAGTTCTATTCAGTTGTGTATGTGTTAACTAAAGTCTTTGAAAATGTAATAAGTTTTACGAAACGCGCTCAAGTGTCGCGTCAGACTAGAAATAAAAATGAATATTGGAGAATTGATTTTTTAATTACCTCCAACAGTGAAAAGAAATGTACGAAAGATTGAGAAAATTCGTGTTAGAATTATTAATCTTACTTTTTCGGTCATATTTAATAATATATGTCTACAGGAAAGACTGCTACCAAAATATACTATATATATATATATATATATATATATATATATATATATATATATATATATATATATATATATATATATATATATATATATATATATATATATATATATATATATATATATATATATATATATATATATATATATATATATATATATATATATATATATATATATATATATATATATATAATATATATTTGGTAGCAATCTTTCTTGTAAACATATGTTGTTGAATATGACCGAAAAAGGTAAGATTTATAATTCTGACACGAATCTTCTCAATATTTCTTATGTTTTTCTTCACTGTCGGTGGCAATAAAAATAACAATTCTTCGAAGTTCATTTTTTTAATTGTCTGACGCCTGAACGTGTTTCGTAACTCGTATTACATTTTCAGACTTAATTTACACACAAATTCTTCGTACTTATACTCTATTGGATGAGGTGATATGGTACAAAAGTTTTGGGTGAGGTGACAAACACAAGACAGAACACGAAACAATGGGTATAAATTGGATAAGTGAACATATGAACGGAAGTAACTGCAGAAGGCCTATTGGCCCATACTTCCTCTTGCTGCTTCCATATTGGTTCGGGGTCTTGAAGTAGGTAGAATATAGTTGTGCATTAATTGGCTGTTGATTACTGGTGTTGACTTTTTGATGTGTAGTGCCTCGCTTATGTCAAGCCGCCTGCTATCGCCGTACCTATCGATGATTTCTGTGTTGTTTGTTAAGATTTCTCTGGTGATGGTCTGGTTGTGAGAAGAGATTATGTGTTCCTTGATAGCTCCCTGTTGCTTATGCATTGTTTGTCGTCTAGAAAGAGACGTTGTTGTCTTGCCTATATACTGAGTTCTTTGGGGCTTACAGTCCCCAAGTGGGCATTTTAAGGTATAGATGACGTTAGTCTCCTTCAGAGCGTTCTGCTTGGTGTCTGGCGAGTTTTTCATGAGTAGATTGGCCGTTTTTGTGGTTTTATAATAAATTATCAACTGTAATTTCTGATTTTTGTTTGTAGGGATGACATTCCTATCAACAATATCTCTCAGGATCCTTTCCTCCGTTTTATGAGCCGTCAAAAAGAAGTTCCTGTAAAATAGTCTAATTGGGAGTACAAGTGTTGTGTTGGTTGACTTTTCAGAAGTTGCATGGCGTTTTACCTTTCTTTTTATGATGTCTTCAACGAGACCGTTAGAGAAGCCGTAGTTGACTAGGACCTGCCTTACCCTATAGAGCTCTTCATCGACTTTTTTCCATCCTGAGCTGTTGCTTAGAGCACGGTCGACGTAAGCATTGACAACACTCCTCTTGTACCTGTCTGAACAGTCACTATTGGCATTGAGGCACATTCTTATGTTGGTTTCTTTGATGTAGACTGTAGTATAGAAGCCTCCGCTCCTATCCGTGACTGTTACATCTAGAAAGGGTAGCTTACCCATTGTTCTCCATCTTTTACGTGAAACTACCATGGCCCGTGCTCCGCGGTGTAAGTCGACAAATTCCTTGGGAGACTTCAAGTTGAAAGCACAGGGTACGTAAGGAGTCAGCAACCCGTTGAGTCACTTGAGTCGAATTCATATATATTCCTTTATTTTTTTCCTCAGGTTCCAGTAGGAAGGTTATTGATATGAAGGAGGATCCTGGGGGTGGTCCTGGAGGCGGTGGTGGTGGAGGTGTCGTCAGCGGCATTAGGCTGGGACGAGGCATGGTTGGCGGGGGTCGTGTGGTGAGGGTCAGCGGCGTGGTGGGGGCCAGGAGCCCCGTAGACAATGGTTCCTTTGGCTCGTGTAACGGTGACCTTCTGACTACTACCTCCAGAGATTCTCTTCTGGGACCCCACAGCAAACCGGTGAGTCAGCGGTCTGGTAATTCGGTAACTATTGCTGAAACTGAATATGTCAGACACTATAACTGGTAAACTGGCTACGCCAGGAACTATAGCCGGTAAACTGGGTAGATAAAGAACTATAGCTGGTAAACTGGATAAGCCGGATACTAGACCTGGTTAACTTGACATTTCAATTATCCCCCACATAAAGGGAAGCAATCCTAGCATCACCAGTTTAACAGTAATAGGCATAAAATGATGACTAACGCAGTAACGTAGTAATAATCTACAAACGATGCAGTAGTTATTTTATCAAAAAAATTGCACTCCTGTTGAGAAGCAAAATTGTATATATATATATATATATATATATATATATATATATATATATATATATATATATATATATATATATATATATATATATATATATATATATATATATATATATATATATATATATATATATATATATATATATTATATATATATATATATATATATATATATATATATATTTTGGTAGCAGTCTTTCCTGTAGACATATATTATTAAATATGACCGAAAAAGTAAGATTAATAATTCTAACACGAATTTTCTCAATCTTTCGTACATTACGCTTCACTGTTGGAGGTAAATCAAAAATCACTTCTCCAAAATTCATTTTTATTTAAGACTAGAAATAAAAATGAATTTGGAGAATTGATTTTTGATTTACCTCCAACAGTGAAAAGAAATGTACGAAAGATTGAGAAAATTCGTGTTAGAATTATTATTCTTACTTTTTCGGTCATATTTAATAATATATGTCTACAGGAAAGACTGCTACCAAAATATACTAATATATATATATATATATATATTTTGGTAGCAGTCTTTCCTGTAGACATATATTATTAAATATGACTGAAAAAGTAAGATTAATAATTCTAACACGAATTTTCTCAATCTTTCGTACATTACGCTTCACTGTTGGAGGTAAATCAAAAATCACTTCTCCAAAATTCATTTTTATTTCTAGTCTGACGCGACACGGGCGCGTTTCGTAAAACTTATTACATTTTCAAAGACTTCACAAATACACAACTGATTAGAACGTATCTCTGATTTTATATCTACATTTGAGTGAGGTGGAGGGGTGATGTGGCATTAACACAAGACAGAACAAGAGGGGATATTAATAGGGTATTAAAAGTATCAACACAAGACAGAACAGAAACAATGGGTATTGAATAGAAGTGTTTGTAGAAAGCCTATTGGTCCATATTTCTTGATGCTTCTATATTGGAGCGGAGTCTTGAGGTGGGTAGAATATAGTTGTGCAATAATTGGCTGTTGATTGCTGGTGTTGACTTCTTGATGTGTAGTGCCTCGCAAACGTCAAGCCGCCTGCTATCGCTGTATCTATCGATGATTTCTGTGTTTTTACTAGGATTTCTCTGGCGATGGTTTGGTTATGGGAAGAGATTATATGTTCCTTAATGGAGCCCTGTTGCTTATGCATCGTTAAACGCCTAGAAAGAGATGTTGTTGTCTTGCCTATATACTGGGTTTTTTGGAGCTTACAGTCCCCAAGTGGGCATTTGAAGGCATAGACGACATTAGTCTCTTTTAAAGCGTTCTGTTTTGTGTCTGGAGAGTTTCTCATGAGTAGGCTGGCCGTTTTTCTGGTTTTATAGTAAATCGTCAGTTGTATCCTCTGATTTTTGTCTGTAGGGATAACGTTTCTATTAATAATATCTTTCAGGACCCTTTCCTCCGTTTTATGAGCTGTGGAAAAGAAGTTCCTGTAAAATAGTCTAATAGGGGGTATAGGTGTTGTGTTAGTAGTCTCTTCAGAGGTTGCATGGCTTTTCACTTTCCTTCTTATGATGTCTTTGATGAAACCATTGGAGAAGCCGTTATTGACTAGGACCTGCCTTACCCTACAGAGTTCTTCGTCGACTTGCTTCCATTCTGAGCTGTGGCTGAGAGCACGGTCGACGTATGCGTTAACAACACTCCTCTTGTACCTGTCAGGGCAGTCGCTGTTGGCATTTAGGCACATTCCTATGTTTGTTTCCTTAGTGTAGACTGCAGTGTGGAAACCTCCGCCCTTTTCCATGACTGTTACATCTAGAAAAGGCAGCTTCCCATCCTTTTCCGTCTCGTAAGTGAAACGCAGCACGGAACTCTGCTCAAATGCCTCCTTCAGCTCCTGCAGATGTCTGACATCAGGTACCTGTGTAAAAATGTCGTCAACATACCTGCAGTATATGGCCGGTTTCAAGTTCATGTCGACTAAGACTTTTTGCTCGATGGTACCCATGTAGAAGTTTGCAAACAGGACACCTAGGGGAGAACCCATGGCGACCCCATCAACTTGCTTATACATGTGCCCATCCGGGCTCAAGAAGGGTGCCTCTTTAGTACAAGCTTGGAGTAGTTTCCTCAGAATACTTTCTGGCATGTCAAGAGGAGTACAGGCTGGATCACGATACACTCTGTCGGCTATCATTCCGATTGTCTCGTCCACAGGTACGTTGGTAAACAGCGATTCTACGTCCAACGAGGCTCTTATCCCTGTGGCCCGTGTGCCCCGCAGTAAGTCCACAAATTCCTTTGGAGACTTCAGGCTGAAGGCGCAAGGAACATAAGGAGTCAGCAGGCCGTTGAGTCGCTTTGCCAGTCTGTACGTGGGTGTGGGTATCTGGCTAATGATTGGCCGAAGTGGGTTTCCAGGCTTGTGCGTCTTGACATTTCCATACGCATATCCAGGTTTATATTCCCCAATGATCTTTGGCAGGTGGAGTCCGGATTTCTTGGCGTTCACAGTTTCGATCAGTTTGTTGACCTTTGCTTTTAATTCGGCTGTAGTGTCCTTCGTTACCCTTTGGAACTTAGTTTGGTCAGAGAGTATGATGTTCATTTTCGCCAGATATTCGTCTTTTTTAAGAATGACATATATTGGCGACTTGTCACCTCTCCTGACAACTATCTCCTTGTTCTCACGAAGGCTTTTAGCTGCCGCTTTAAGCTCGGGGGACAGTATGGTGCTTCTGTAGTTGCCTCGATTCTTTCCTCCTTCTGCAATAAGTTCTGCTTGTAAGGTATCTTTGGTAGTGACCTTCTTTTGTGTCTCGAGGTCGAATATGTCGTCCAACAGAATTTCCAACTCTACTTTCCGGGCCATTTCACTCGGTCTGGACATAACATGACAGTTTATGCCCAGATTTAGGAGAGTGACTTGGTCCTCAGTGAGGTTAATTCCTGCAAGGTTCAGGAAGCCATCTCTTGGTCGTGGAATTGCCATAGGTCCTCCATATAATGTTGTTAGTTTCTTGATAATCCTTGTTTCAGTGCTGAGGTGATGTTGGTCTGTGAGGATGTCGAGGTGTTGTTCAATGCGGGTACGGATACTATGGTCGATGTTGCTATTTCTCCACTCGTTTGTAGCATGAAGTAGTTGCGTTTTGTTGTCTTTGATTTCATTCTCTGCCTTGTATATCTGATCACGAATCAGATCCTGGCGATATTTTATCGTGAAGGCTTGATTCCTTGCTGCTAGGTCGTGCACTTTAATATTAGTATATTTTGGTAGCAGTCTTTCCTGTAGACATATATTATTAAATATGACCGAAAAAGTAAGATTAATAATTCTAACACGAATTTTCTCAATCTTTCGTACATTACGCTTCACTGTTGGAGGTAAATCAAAAATCACTTCTCCAAAATTCATTTTTATTTCTAGTCTGACGCGACACGGGCGCGTTTCGTAAAACTTATTACATTTTCAAAGACTTCACAAATACACAACTGATTAGAACGTATCTCTGATTTTATATCTACATTTGAGTGAGGTGGGAGGGGTGATGTGGCATTAACACAAGACAGAACAAGAGGGGATATTAATAGGGTATTAAAGTATCAACACAAGACAGAACAGAAACAATGGGTATTGAATAGAAGTGTTTGTAGAAAGCCTATTGGTCCATATTTCTTGATGCTTCTATATTGGAGCGGAGTCTTGAGGTGGGTAGAATATAGTTGTGCAATAATTGGCTGTTGATTGCTGGTGTTGACTTCTTGATGTGTAGTGCCTCGCAAACGTCAAGCCGCCTGCTATCGCTGTTTCTATCGATGATTTCTGTGTTGTTTACTAGGATTTCTCTGGCGATGGTTTGGTTATGGGAAGAGATTATATGTTCCTTAATGGAGCCCTGTTGCTTATGCATCGTTAAACGCCTAGAAAGAGATGTTGTTGTCTTGCCTATATACTGGGTTTTTTGGAGCTTACAGTCCCCAAGTGGGCATTTGAAGGCATAGACGACATTAGTCTCTTTTAAAGCGTTCTGTTTTGTGTCTGGAGAGTTTCTCATGAGTAGGCTGGCCGTTTTTCTGGTTTTATAGTAAATCGTCAGTTGTATCCTCTGATTTTTGTCTGTAGGGATAACGTTTCTATTAATAATATCTTTCAGGACCCTTTCCTCCGTTTTATGAGCTGTGGAAAAGAAGTTCCTGTAAAATAGTCTAATAGGGGTATAGGTGTGTGTTAGTTGTCTCTTCAGAGGTTGCATGGCTTTTCACTTTCCTTCTTATGATGTCTTCGATGAAACCATTGGAGAAGCCGTT